TTAAACTTGCCCTCTAAAGTGGCTTTACCAATTTATGGTCCTACCATCCTGACCATACATTCTTTGGTAGCTATTCATAAGGTTGAGAATGGCCATCTTTAGTATTCAAGTAGGGAAGCAAGGAGCATGCTCTATAAGAAGTGATACATATTAGCCGCAAACTTGAGTTCTGAAGCTAGTGAAAATGACTTTAGAAAATTTCTGATTTGTCCAATGGTTTAATAAGGGAAAGAAAAAGCTCCACCACATTCTCCGACATCTAAGCTTCATTTGCCATTGCTGATTCTTTCCTCAGAGGAAGCCAGTGGGGAATAAACTGTATCACAAATATGAAACTAGTGTTTATTAAATTATAGAAGTTAGTTGACGTTAAATCTCTTAGTAAGAGCGCATCAATAAAGAGGATAACAAAGACTGGTGGAAGGAGCATAGACTTTAGAATCATACAGACCTGGGTTTAAATCCTAGCTATGCCACTTCATTGTAGTAGTTGATAATTATCTACAAATTGGGGTCAGAACTATCTACTTCATAGTGTGGTTAGGTTTTAAAAAGTGCCAAAAATTTGATATGTAAATAAATATTATTTTTCTCTTCCTTCTTGCTGTATACATATAGGAAGTATATAAACTTGTTACTGATTTTTTACTGTTACTTTGTTCGTAAAAGTAAAGCATGTACTATGACCTCTTATATTTTCATTAGTTTTAAGAACCAGTTTGGAATATGTTGCAAAGTGAGTGAGAATATAATTCTTTAAAGACTACACGAAATATTGCTACCTGTGGTATTTTGCACCCCTTATCTTATTTGAATTTTGGGAGCAGGAATAGAAGTTAATACTTTCATTTTGTAGATGTGGGTCCAAAAATGACACAGTTTGAAAATGGAGTGCTAGGGTTCGAACCCAGGTCTTCTGGCTCCTAGTCTAGCACTCTTTCCTTTAGGTCACGTTGCCTGATGTTCTTTGGTTCTCTTGTGACTAATTCTTGGTCTCTTTCTGTGTTGCAGCATATTTGTCTAAAGTTCCACCAGAGCCAACAAAATCTTTATCCCTCCTTTGTGCGAGTAGTTCTATGCTAAGCACTTATTGTTGCCTTATCCATTTTCGCTTAGAGTATCTCAGGTGAAAAGGAATTTATTATTTGGAAGAAGGCTAAGCTGATAGTATTTTTATGTTACAATGATGTTGAAACTTTTTGTATGAAGTTACTATTTTCATTTCTGAAATAATATGACCATGTAGTTGTGATGAGAGTTGCTGAGTTGAGGAAGATACAGAGTATTGATGGGGAAGATTTTTAGTTCTGTGAGAGAGAGAATAATTGGTGAACGTGTTTGGCCTCCTTGTAGGAATACCATCATAATATGTATAATGGGAAAGAAGACAATGAAATAGACAAGCTACTATGTAATGCTTTGATCCCCAATTTTGCTTTATACTATGAATTGGTTTAGAAAGAAAGAGGGGATTTTGATACATGAATAATGTTGATGTTTAAAATTATACTTTCTAAGACAAAATCACATTCCAATTGGAGGACCTTGGAAATTATCTTGAATTCTCTGTGGTTTTGAAGGGTCATTGAATTATTTAACTTCTGAAACCAACAGTGGATTGGTATATAAGAGGACTCTACCGATGGCAACTCTTGAAGTTCTTTTGTTACTGTTAATTCTTTTATCGCTGCTTCTTAAAATTAAAGCACACATGCACACCTATGCTTAAAACTTAAAGTATTAAATTATAGGCTCCAGAGAAATACCTCCTTGTGTGTAACTGTTATTTTTCATAATATTTTTTAGATTGAGAGATGTGAAGAAAATAGAAAAAGTAGTTTATTTCCCATTCGAGGAACTATTCTTACTATAATTTTCTCTCTTTGTAATAATCAAAATACAAGAAATGCAGAACATGGAGGTTCTTTCAGGAAAGGCTTAATTATTTTTTAGCATGTTTAGATGGCAGATTGTGGACCTTTTTTAAAAAAAAAATTTTTAGTTGTTTTTCTCTAAAAAAACACAATTAGTCTCTAGCCTAGTCCATTTCTTATCCTGATAGTTGTGAATGGTTTCTGTTACACACAAGAATATATCAAATGTGAAGGTGACATTACCGGTCTTTTTTTACTTTGTTTAGATTTTTTGAAGATTTGCTTTTTGTAGAGCAGTTTTAAGTTCACAGCAATCTTAAGAGGAAGGTACAGAGATTTTCCATATACCTCCTGCCCCAACACATGCAAAGCCTCCTCCATTATCAACATCCCCCACTACAGTGGTAGATTTGGTACGATTGATGAACTGACACTGACACATCACAATCAGCCAAAGTCTGTAGTTTACCTCTGAGTTCACTCTTGATGTTGTACATTCTATGGACTTGGACAAATGTATAATGACATTTATCCATCATTATAGTATCATACAGAGTAGTTTCACTGCCCTAAAAATCCTCTGTGTTCTACCTTTTCATCCCTTCTTCCCCGCTAACCTTGGACAACCAATTATCTTTTTATTGTCTCCATAGTTTTACCTTTTCCAGAATGTCATATAGGTGGAATCATACAGTATGTAGCCTTTTCAAATTGGCTTCTTTTACTTAGACATCTGCTCTTAAGGTTCCTCCATATCTTTTCATGGATCGATAGCTCCTTTCTTTCTTGAACTGAATAATATTCCATTGTCTGAATGTACATTTATCCATTCACCTACTGAAGGACATCTTAGTTGCTTCCAAGTTTTAGCAATTGTGAACAAAGCTGCTATAAACATCCATGTACAGGCTTTTGTGTGGACATAATTTTTCAACTCCTTTGAGTAATTATCAAGGAGTACAATTCCTGGGTTGTATGGTAATATTATGTTGTTTTGTAAGAAACTGCCAAACTGTCTTCCAAAGTGGCTGTACCATTTTGCATTCCCACCAGCAGTGAGAGTTCCTGTTTCTCTACATCCTCACCTGCATTTAGTGTTCTCAGTGTTTCAAATTTTGGCCATTCTAATAGTTGTTTAGTGGTACCTCATTGTTGCTTTAATTTGTATTTCTCTGGTGACATATGATGTGAAATATCTTTTCAGATGCTTATTTGCCATCTGTATATCTTCTTTGAAGTTTTTAATTTTAATGAAGTCCAGCTTATCAACAATTTCTTTCATGGATTGTGCCTTAGGTGTTACATCTAAAAAGTTGTCACCATACCCAAGTTCGTTTAGTCTTTTACTATGTTATCTTCTAGGAGTTTTATAGTTTTGCATTTTACATTTAGATCTGTGATCTACTTTGAGTTAATTTTTGTGAAGGGTATAAGGTCCGTGTCTAGATGCATTTTTTTGCATGTGGATGTCCAGGTGTTGCAGCACCGTTTATTGAAAAGACTATCTTTGCTCCATAGTATTGTCTCTACTCCTTTGTCAAAGATCAGTTGACAGGGCTGGCCTGGTGGCATAACAGTTAAGTGTGTCCTTCACTGCAGCGGCCCGGGTTTCGGATCCTGGGTGCGCACTGACGCACCACTTGTCAAGCCATGCTGTGGTGGCATCCCATATAAAGTGGAGGAAGATGGGCATGGATGTTAGCCCAGGGCCAGTCTTCCTCAGCAAAAAGAGGAGGATTGGCGACAGATGTTAGCTCAGGGCTAATCTTCCTCACCAAAAAAAAAAAAAAAAATCAGTTGACTCTTTTTATAGGCATACCTGGGAGATATTGTGGGTTCAGTTCCAGACCATTTCAATAAAGCTAATATCACAATAAAGCCAGTCACGAATTTGCATATGAAAGTTATATTTATACTATACTGTAGTCTGTTAAGTGTGCAATAGCATTATGTCTAAAAAAACAATATACATACCTTAATTAAGAAATGCTTTATTGCTAAAAACGCTAACCATCATTGACGTGAGCCTTTAGCTAGTCTTCTTGCTCGTGGAGAGTCTTGTAAAAAACACAGTGTCAGGGGCTGGCTCAGTGGCATAGTGGTTAAGTTCATGTGCTCTGCTTTGGCGGCCTGGGGTTTGCAGGTTTGGATCCTGGGCGCGGACCTACACACTGCTCTTCAAGCCATGCTGTGGCGGCGTCCCACATAGAAAATAGAGGAAGATGGGTACAGTTGTTAGCTCAGGGACCATCTTCCTCACCAAGAAAAAAAAAAAGAAAGAAAAAAAAAACAGTATCAGCAAAGTACAATAAAGCAAAGTGCAATATAACGAGGTATACCTATATGTGGTCCATTTCTGTGCTCTCTGTGCTATTCTGTTGATTTATTTGTCTGTTCTTTTGCCGATATCACACTGTCTTGATTATTGTAGCTTTATAATAAGCCTTGAAGTTGGGTAGTGTCAGTCCTCCCATTTTGCTCTTCTTTAATATTGTGTTGGCTATTCTGGTTCTTTTGCGTCTCCGTATAAACTTTAGAACCAATATGTTAATACCACAAAATAACTTGCTGAGATTTTGACTGGGATTGCATTGAATCTATAGATCAAGTTGGGAAATACTGACATCTTGATAATATTGAGTCTTCTATCCATGAACAGAATATCTCTCCATTTATTTAGTTTTTTCATTTCGTTCATCAGAGTTTTTAGTTTTACTCATATAAATCTTGTACATATTTTGTTAGATTTATACCAATTTTATGTTTTGGGGTGCTGATGTAAATAATATTGTGTGGTTAATTTCAAATTCCACTTGTCCATTGCTGGTATACAGGAAAGTGATTGACTTGCATGTATTAACCTTGTACTCTGCAACCTTGCTGTAATTGCTTATTAGTTCCAGGAGTTCTTTTGGTCCATTCTTTCATATTTTCTACATAGATGATCATGTCATCTGCAAATAAAGACAGTTTTATTTCTTTCTTCACAATCTGTATATCTTTTATTTCCTTTTTCTTGTCTTAATAGCTGGTACTTCCAGCATCATGTTGATGATCATTGCCATTTTTTGTCCTCCTTTCTGTGAGGTCTATGTTAAAACTTTCTCCATTATATTTGTTCTGCAGCTCACCAAAGCTCATCGACAAGGACACATGGTGAAAGTAGATTGGCTGGACAGATTGACATTTAGAGAAATAGAAATGATAAATGAGGTGAGTTGTATCCTTCTTTTTTATTTCAGAATATTTTCTCCAGATTTCTAAATCAAGAATTTTTTAGAAGTATTGTTTGTTGCCAGTTATCTCACGAATGTGGGAATGTTGAGGATAACCTGTAGTTGTGAGTTCTATGTTAATAAGTGGGACACTTGGGATATCTGCCGTTCTTATGTTTTAATGTTATGCCAAACCATGAAGTAGGTAGTGAATATTGTAAGTGTGCTAAATATCATATAAGTGAAGCCTGTGTTAAGCTTGATGCCTCACTTGTGTTTTCTCTCTCTCTTCATATGGCTGCTTATGTTCAAATTCAAATCAGTATTGGATAAATCTATCAACACAATGCTATCTCTTCACTTCAGTTACCTTAAGTCATCATTAACAATTCCTCTCCCTAATTAAGATACTACGTGCCTTATGTTCTACATGTAGGACTCTGCACACTTAATAAAGTTACATGGTTCAAGTAATGTATTTGTTTCTTGATCTTGTGTATTGGTCAAGAATATGTTTAATTAAAAGATGGCTTCAATGCAACTCTTTCCAAAAGTTAGAACAAAATTTTTTTTTCTTTTTTGTATATTTGTACTGAAATACTAGATGTTTGGCCTAACATTCTATGTCTAGAGAGTGGAAATAACAATTATATTAATCATATTAGGAGAGAGGAATATCAATTTTGTGATATGCTTAGCTTATAGTGATCTCCACAGGACACAACTAACAATTTATATTCTCTGAACAGTTTTCAGCAGGTGGAAAGAGAGAGATTTTTAATTTTACAGTGAACGCTTATGAAAGTTAAATTCTAGCATTGTTTATTTTTTAAAAACAAATTAATGGTGTTAATAACATTTATATTCAGTATGAACACTGGGCATCTTTTCTAAATTTATTCATAATGCACTTTCATATACTGAAACTGAAAGAAAAGTTTACTATTTTGAATTTTTGTGGTAGTCACACACCAAAAACAAAAAAAGTTTAATGAAAATGCTTAACTTATATAGAAAATGTAATGTTAGGGCTTACTTTGCTCAGCCTTTCTCATCCTCCCTACCCCCACTCTTTAAAAGATAGGAGACCATTACCATTACCATAAACGACTATAGTATGCTTCATTAGGCTGAACAATTTAAGTGACCTCTTTACACCTTTATGATTTTATACATACAGACTTAAAGCCATTTTAAAAACTGTTTTGGGTCAAGACTAATCACTCTTTAGAAAAACTTCATTTTATTTTCACTTTATTATTAACATAGTATTTGCTTTGTTTTAAGAGGACACATTTATACACACAATCAACATTTTTTTATGTTGGGGAAGAAGTAACTATTCCCCAGTAAACTTATAGTATATTGATAAAAATTTACAAATGACTGCAAGTCATCTTCAGACCATTTATAAATTGTGAAAAACTTGTAAAATTTGTATTTATTAAGCTCAAATGGACTCTGTCCTTAGTTACATACTTCTACTTTTGTTTTTTGTGATACTTATCTTAATTCCTATAGTTAGATTAGTTGTATCGTTTAAAGGTGAACTGTTCTTTGCTTAAAATTCTTAGAAGTACAAAACATCTTTATTTTTGAAATAAAATAGTTCTTATGCAAATGTATATAAAATACCTTCAAGATTTTATATAATAAAATCTAAACTACTGTATAAACCAAAAATGTCATTAAGTTTGAGGAGGGAGTTATAAGTGAATAGTAGACACTACTGGATAAAATAGTAGTGCTGTATGTAATAAAATAGCAGTACTGTATAAAATAGTTCATTTATAATAATGAAATAAAAATTTGTTACATTTTAAGCTATACTTGATAGATTTATGTATTATCTAATGGGGATACACAATGATCCTTTAGAAGAATGTTGAAGATGATCATTTTTCATAAAAATCTTTTTTTTCTTTTGTTAGAGTGAAAAACGAAGTTCTAATTTCATGTACTTGATGGTTGAGTTTCGATGTGTCAAGAGTGATGATAAGGAATATGGCATTGTTTATTATGAAAAGGTATTTGCCTTGGAACTGTTTATAGTCTCTAAAGTAGAGGGGAGGGGAAACATTAAAAACAATTACTGTTGTTCCTGCTGCGATGAATTATGTGGTTGCAGGATAGCAGCAGACAGCTGTCAGCAGCAGCTGTTTATGTGTACACAAATCAAATCATAGCTACAACAAGATTACAAAAGCCGATCATTCATGTAATGTAGTTCTGGGTTACAGAATTAAATAAATGTGGAAGAGATTAAAACCTTTTTGATTAATTGTTCTGCACATTGGCAAGTAGGACATTAAAGCAATAGCTTTGTTAACAATTAGTATTCATTTGAAAAATAAAAAGAGGGAATCATATTTTTTAAGTGGTAAGATATTGAAAGTTAAGTGTATGTTTGTTATTTGAGTATATGATGTGTTGGAATGTATATGTAACCTTAATATAAATATGCTTATGAAAGTCTTCATAAATGTGCATTTATTTATATAATATGTGCAGAATTAAGAAAACCAGTGTTATCAGTAGGCTGAGTGATAACAAGTATGCAGTTATGGATTAGCTCTGATCTGTTCATTATACAAAAGAAAGTAGTTAGTTGTATATTTCATATTTAGCTACTTGAAAAATATCTGTGCCTTAAATGCTTGCTTAAGGGTCTTCATTTAAGTACTACAGAAATAATTGTATATGTATTTCCAAACCACATAAACCAAGTACGTTCTATTACTGTGGAAATACTTAGACAAATGTTTAAATCAGTGTGAATGAGGACAGACTTTGATACATGGCATAATAGCATAATATTTCTTCTAGCATATAGCTAAGCTTATATGCAGTATATTTGTTCATTAGAAGCAGCACTGTTAAATTACCTTTTCACTTCAGTGTTATTTATTAAAGCTGTCATGAGTGATTTTTTGAAATACATATATTTTTATAGCTATAAATTACTATTTGCAAGATGTTTTCAAAATCGATGTTTAGGATTTGTATAGTTAATTCATAATCATTTTTCTGGTATTTTTCAAGTTAATACTCATATTTTTTCCCTTTGGCTTGTACCTCTTCCCTTTAGTAAAAGTTTAGGAAAAGCTAACTTGTCTCAGCTTTTTATTTTATACATGAAACTCCTTGGGAAAAAAAGAAGATAGGAAGATAGACTATTTAGATTATTTATTAATTCATTAGAAAAACTATGTTAAAAAGAAGGGGAAATGCAGGTGAGTGAAATTATTTTGTCACCAACACATTTTAATAAAATCACATTTTACATTTTATAGTATATATAATTTCATTAAAAGCAATATTTCCTGCCCATATGGAGTTTATATTGCAAACACATGCTAATGGAGATGGTACTTTCAAGTATTGGAGATCTTTTGAAAGACAGCTTTGATAATAGATGAAATAACAGAATAGAAATTAGAAGAATTTCAAGTATTTTTGAAAAGGTTCTTGACCCCTTTCTACTGCTTCTTGAAAATTGCCCATAAATTAATGCCTGTCTACCTACCCTGTCATATTTCCACTTAGCGTAAAGATTGCTGGGCCAGTGTATTGAATCTAATGGAAATAGACTTTCTTGTCACCTGTCTTTTGTGACAGATAGCCTTAGTGAAGATTACTTGTCACAGTTGGGCTGATAAATGTGTTTTCTGATGTTGTGACTGAGAACCAGCCTGTTAAACAAGGGCTATGGGGAATTTGTGGTTTTCTGTAAGACTCAATTACTGAACCAAAGTCAAGTCACAATACTTCTCCTCTTTCAGTCTTTCCTGAGTTTGTTGCACGTATCTAAAATTGAAAATGTACTAGCATTTGGAAATTGACAGGAAAACTTGATCCTAGGTGTACAATTGTGAGGAAATGAATTTTAACCTTAATTAGTTTGCCTTTTCCAGTGTGTATGCAGTGACATTTATTATGCTGAATTACCTTTCTTGCTTGAATTGGATAAAAATAAAAGCTAACATTCTTCAAAAATGATAATACCAACAAAATAAGACAGTTTTATTTCTTAAGAATTGATGGATTGATGCTTGGTATTCAAGTTTGCATTGTGTTGAGTAGGTGTCCCCTGAGAAGCAATGCTGTTGAGTCTCTAGTTGTGTGTAAATTTGAGTAACATTAACCCCACACATAAAATTCTACTTCTCTGAACGGAACTCAATTGTGTTAATTTGAAAAGTTACCAACATCTGCTTAGTAGTTTTTGCAAATGATGCAACACATCCATTGTGTCGTATTTTAATTATACTCTGTGGTTTCTTGTTTTAAGTTTGAAAATTAGGACATATTATTTTTGACCTTCTGTCACTATAAACAAAGTTAAAAAAAAATTCAACAATCTACCAATTTCCAGACCTCATATCTCTAAAAACAGTAATACAAATTTTTATTGTCAGATTTTATTTTTCTCAAAATATTTTATCAGCAACAAAAGATAAAAAATGGATATGTATTTTAAAATATAGTTGAAAGAAGATGATTTTTTTAAAGAGAGGAATGATGTTCATTAAATAGAATTAAAATACATTGGAGTGTACATCATCATGTATTGTTCCTTACTATTGATTAAATTTTATATATTTATTTTTCTAACCTAATACGATGTAATCCAGGATGGTGATGAGTCATCTCCAATTTTAACAAGCTTTGAGATAGTGAAAGTTCCTGACCCTCAGATGTCTATGGTGAGTTATTGTCAAATTTCTTATGAAAGTGCTTTTCTCCAGAGTGATTATTACTTAGATCTACATCATACACTTTCTTTTTAAAAAGTGTATCTGTAACTACCTAAAAAGTATATATCTGTAACCACCTCATAAATCCACTTTAGCTGTCTGGAATTGGGTTCAGAGGGAATTTTTACAAGAAATATTAACACCTAAAAATAAAATCAGGATAGTACAGTGTTGGGGAACCATTTTATTTGAATTATTGAAAGAACTAGAAAATGTAGTCTTGAAGTGAGGACTTGGGGAAACAGGTTTTTTAAAGATTGTCATTGTATAGAAGGGGAATTTGTTTGTACCAGGAGGTAACACTAGGATCAGTGGATGAAAATTCTAGGAAGACTGATTTTGTTGGAAAAAATGGAAGATTGTTGTCACTACTATAACTATTCAATTTGGATGATGGTGACTTGGATGATTTTGAGATACCTACCTACTGAATTTTTGAGAAGATAGCTCTCTCAGGGATGCGAAAGAGGAAGAATTCTTACTTACCAACAGAGGTTTAATTAGATGACTTTAGATTTAGAAAGTTCCAGGCAAAAAATCCTTTTAGCAGCACAATAGCTACTGTGATATTCACATGTATAACTCATTTACATCACTTTGAACCATTTTATTCTTATTTTATAGATTTCTAATTAGGTTAGTTACCTCCCTAATTAGACCAAAGTAGATTAAAAGTAGCACATTGGAAGATGAAAACATGATGACCAAGGTAAATACAGGTCATTAAAGCAGGAAGTAATGGCTGATGGCCTAACATCCAAGGAAGAGATGGGGGGGGAAAGAGAATAAAAAGATCACTTGGGAATCTTTTAGAAACAAACATCCTAAATACTTCCATAGTCCCTATGCATAGCATGATGAAATTGAGTTAATATATCTACAGTTGACACTGAGTTCTCATTATAAAATCAAATTATATTTTGCTTTCTGGATATTTGCAACATACGAATGGACGTACTTCATGGTTACCTTCAAAATGGCCTAGAGTAAACAAGTTTTGTCATACTGGGACCATAGATGTCACTTTTGTGTAACTCCCACCAAATTGTCAGGTAGATGAGATATCTGTATATTTAGTGTGTTCTTTTCTAAACAAAATGCTCATCAACAATTACAGTTTTAACATTATGGATGCTGTAATTTAAAAAAACAAAAAGGAACTAGGACCTCTGATAAATTTTAGTTTTAAATGCAGCAAGCAAGCATAAAACAAAAGATTTTAAAAAAGCAAACTACCCTCCTCACCCCCTATGTTCAGAAATTCAGTTCAGTTTGTAGCCACAATTATTTACTAAATAGAGGAATATATTTTAATAAAGAAACTTTGAGTGCCACTGAGCTGGTATACCAATGTATCAGACAATAAAACAGACTGTAAAACTTCTATAATTACAAGTGTATTACTAGCATACATACATATACAAATTGACTGGTAGAATAGAATAAAAAGCCCAGAAATAGATCCAAGTACATATGGAAGTTAGTATATGATAAAGGTGGCACTTCATCCCTGGAACATAGTGCTAGGGAACTGATTAGCTATTTGAAAAAGATAAAATTAAATCAGATCCATACCTAACACCATACGTAAAGAAAAACGCCAAATGGATCAGGGATTTTAAGGTAAAGATATGAAACATTACTAGTACTTTACTCTCAGTGTAGGGAAAGACTTTCTAAGGATGACTCAAAATCCAGAGGCAGTAAAAGAAATGATTGATAAATTTGACTACATTAAAAAAATGGCATGGCAAAAACGCCATAACAGAGTCAGTCAAAAGACGATTGACAAACTGGGAGAAACTATTTGTGACCTACATCTCAAAGGGCTGAATATCTAATATATAAAGACTCTTAAACACTAAGGAACAAAGGACCAAAAACCTAATTGACAAGTAGGAGAAAGACATGAACAGATAATTCACACATGCAAAAGTAAATAAAAAGTCTCATAAGCAGTATGTTCAAAACCAAGGATTTTGGTCATAGGTAAAATAGTCAACACCAAATATGTGTGTTCAAGCCTTACAGTCATTGTCCCTGCCTCAGTTACTACTGGCAGTTGAACTGCTAAGATGATAGTACTGTGCTATCACAAGGTCACTAGTAGTTCACAGGAAGAGGGAAAGCTTTAGTTTGGATTGTGAGGGAAGATTTTAGAGTGAAGGTGATATTTGAGTGGATAGAGGATATAAGTATGTGGAGAATGAGGGGTAGATGTTTTAAGAACCTGGAATGGCATATGCATATTATGGTACTAGTGAAGCATAAGGCATGCTTAGTTTCCCTATCTCAAAATGGTGATATATTTGTAAGAGATAAATAGGAGATTAAAGTAACAAGAATAAAATGTTAAGTACAGTCATGTGCCTCATAATGATGTTTCAGTCAATGATGGACCACATGTACAATGGTGATCCCATGAGATTAGTACCATATAGCCTAGGTGTATGGTAGGCTACCCCATCTAGGTTTGTGTAAGTACACTCTATGATGTTCACACAATGACGAAATTGCTTTACACCGCATTTCTCAGAACGTGTCCCCATCCGTAAGCAATGCATGACTTTACTCTAAAATGGTCTTAAGTAACTATTTACTTTCCTATTTCTAACTTGCTATTGAAACTTCCTTTGCTGAAGTTTACACTGTTGATTAATATTTTTAAATAATTTATAGGAGAATTTAGTTGAGAGTAAACACCACAAGCTTGCCCGGAGTTTGAGAAGTGGACCGTCTGACCACGATCTCAAACCTAATGCTGCTACAAGAGATCAACTAAATGTAAGAGAATTCATAAAATATTAATATAAAACTAAATGGGTATTTTGGTTGCAACTGATATGATGCCACTTCGCTTAAAAGTGATTTAGATGCATGTTTTTTCCAGGTTAATGAACCCTATATAATTTTATCAGTTTCACACTTGTGTAGTTTTATTATCGTTTTGGGGCTTTCAGTAAATATATTAGCCCTGTAGACAGAGCTACAAATAGTAGCATATACTTTCATGATATGACTTTCTTAGAAGCTGACCCTAAGGTACACTGCCTGCGAGAGGACTTGATGTACACACATGCTTTGGTGTGTACGTTAACGAGAGAAATGTTTATTGTTTGTTTGTTTTTTTCCTTTTTGTGTGTGGGGGAGGAGGCTTTTATTATTTTGGTTTGTTTTGTTTTTGGTTGAATTAGATTAGCTCTGTAGTTATATACTTTTCTTTGGAGTGTGACTTTTTCATCTCGTCTTTTTCTCCCCCTTACACTCTGATAATTAATCCTTTTGAACTGATAAGTACAGCAAATTTAAGTCTTACTCAGCTGCGTGTACATTCTCCTTGCTTCTATAATGGTTCTATTATAGAAATATTTAAGTAAATGAAAAAGAAATGTATAGCAAGAATATATTTGACAAAAGTAGTTCTTTTTTTTCTTCCTTGTAGATTATTGTGAGCTATCCACCAACCAAGCAACTTACATATGAAGAACAAGATCTTGTTTGGAAGTTTAGATACTATCTTACTAATCAAGAAAAAGTGAGTTTCTTGAATATTTTCATATATCAAATTTATCTATAAACTTTGTTGCTAATAAACAAGATAAGGTAAAACTTTCATGGAAATATAGAGTTATTGTCAAATTAAAAAAAGTTATAGAACAATATATATGATACTCCATTTTTTAAAAATTACAAAAATGTAGACACAAAGACACATGTGCCAGTTTGTTGATGCATAGACAGTGTCGGAATGGGTTAAGTCGGAGAGACTTGGGTTCAGTTTCAGGCACTATAACTTATTCTCCCTAGGTAAGGTGAGGCAAATTGCTTTGAAGCTTGGTTTCCTCATTATTCTAATGATGACAACCCTCCTTCACAGGTGAGATAATACAGGTGAATAAACTGGCCGAGTACCTGGTATATGGTAGGTGCAGAGTAAATGTTGATTCACTTCTATCTTCATTTTTCTTACCTCTTTGAACCTAGGTGACTAGCAAAATAATCGTTAAAAGAAATGTAGGATTCTGGAGGAGATATGGCTAGAGAGTATGAGAAATGTAATTTGAAATGTGTAAACTGAGTTGGTGGAGAGGCATCCAGCTCAGCATGCAAGATAGAGGCTAGGTCAGAAGTAGACATTTGCTTTCCATAATGAAACATGTAGGAGGTAAAGTTCTGGAGAAAGAAAGTTGTGAGGAAGTAGTGAGCACTGGATTTGTGTCTGGAGGCTTGGTTTTGAGTCTTGCTGTTGCCACTAAGAAGCTTTTTGACTGCAGGCAAATTATCTCACCTGTCTAAGCTTTAGTTTCCTCATATTTAGTAGGAGTGATTAAATGATAGTGAGCTTTATGTCTCTTCTAGTTCTTAAAATAGTCTGCAAATTCTTAGAACATAGGTTCAAGGACTAACCTTTAAGGTATAGTAAAAATAACCAGCATCTATTAAACAGCCACTGTGTGCCATGGATCTTTTAAATCCCACAACAACCCCATAATGTAGGTATTATTGTTACTGTTCTACAAATGAGAAGACTTGAGTCTTAGAGATTAAGGAACCTTTGCAGAATCACAAAGCTTATAAATGCTGCCTCTTGTTATGCTCACATTTGTGAATTAGAAGAGAAGGTAGTCAGTGAAGCCACAGAAGAGAGGATTATAGAGAAAATATTCACATCATTATGCACATGCTTCAGCAGGAATTCTGAAATGCATTGGGGGCAAAACAGAGAAGCATCAGGAAAATTAATATCTGCCAGAAAGCTATGATATGATTATGTGAGAATGAATGAATATGTTTTACAATCTTATGAGATGGTCTTTTAGCTACTTTAACTTGTTTTTCTGAAACAAACGTATTTCCTTTAGTTTCTAAAGTAGAGATAAAAATCCAGTTGCAGCTCATCTTAACTCTTCAACTTTTCCTCTTTATCTTTAATTCTTTGTAGATGAATCATATTCATTCTCCTTTATATCCATAACAAAAATGAGAGAAGGATTTTAAATTTACTATAGCTTTGAGTGTGATTTTCTTCATCACTGCAAAAAAGGAATTATTCATCAATAGAAACACAGGTTTGTGATTTTGTGTTTTATAAAAAGATCAAGTTAGTACATGATACTTGTTAAATGAAGAATAACCTTGGTCACAGAAATTGCGTCTTGAATGCAGCACGGTGTTGTCTAAAATATACGTCAAGATATTGAATTAAACCTGTTAGAATGTATAGGTTCAGGAAGCAAAGAATAGATTTACAGAGCAGAACTGCCTAGATAGAAAGGCTTGCAAGAAAAATTGTTTGTTTAAACAAGTAGTCACTTCCCACTGAAATTCAATTACTTCTAGATATGTGCAAAAGAAATAAAATGCTCAAGTGATATAAAGTGTGTGCCAAGTTTCATTTAACTAGTTGATTTCAAGTTTTCGAAAGGTAGGTGATGAAACTTCAATTCTCAGGACATATTATAGGATTCTGATGATCACTAGAGTAGAGTGAACAATATTTTTTAATGTTGAAGAAGCACTTTTCAGTAAACCAAATATATGTTGGCCTTGAAGTGACCAGAGGAATTATTTACACAGGCACATTTGTATCTTTGTAGTAATTTAAAATGGGTTTTGTAGAAAACAAATACTCCTGTACCCGTGTCCCTTAATTTATTTACTACAAAGAAATTTTTTCAGTGTCGGTTTCTCAGGAACTGTGATTTAGGTTATTTGGCATTTGGGCCCCGAGGCTGAAAAGATTTTCTAGAGAGAAAGCAGTGCTCAGAAAACAAATTGGTGGAAACCGGTTCTTACAAATTTATACTTCTTATTTGTTTTTTAATTAAATTGCATCTTTCCACCTGTTTTTTCCCTAAATGACCTGTCTTAAGTATTTTGGATGAAAACCCTCTAGTCTGGACTTGATGTTACACCTAAAAAGTTCACAGTAATAACTTTTTCCAACAAAACTAGTTAAATTTATGAAGTATTTTTAAATTTGTGGTCCATAGCATGTAGGAAATGACTCATTTTTGTGGAACACAAAATCTGATTATTGTAACTTTTCAACACTAGCTTTTACCATGGTAAATGGCCTTCCTTCTTGTAAAAATGTTAATTAAAAGTAACTTATATTAACTTAATGCCTTTCCATTGTGTTTGGGGGGAAAAAAGCAGTAGGAAGAGTCATATATGGTAAGGGGAATAGTGATGCACTGAATGTCCTTACGAGGCTGCTTCTGAAGTAGCTGCTGAGACAGTGACATCAGAACAGTAATCATATTTGTGCCTCTTGACAAGGAGTTGATGGTGAACCATAGCAGAAATGCATTCAGTTCAGCAAGCATTTGTTATCAACTACTGGCATAGCATTATCCAAGACTCTGGGCTTTGAGATGTCATTTCTCTGTCTTCATATAAATTTAAAACTGTTTTAGGAAAGGATATTTATACACAATCAAAATGGAGACATATAGGATAGTAATTGATTAAGGATTACTCTCAGTAAACATTTAGGTAATTACTATGAGTAATAGAAGTGTGGGGTAGAACAAGATGAGTATGCTATGATATGAAGGCGGATTCACAGAGCAAAGATTGGTATTAAAGTTTGAGTAAGCTTTAATGGTATTTTTTATTTGATGATCATTTTTCATGGGGAGGGATAGCATGAGTAAGGCAAAGTGTTAGGTTCAGAGACAGAAGAGTTTGTAGAATGGTTATGAAGTAGAAAAGATGGAGTCAGTTTATGATGTGCCTTGAATTCTATGCTTGGGAGTTGGATTTCACTGGCAATAAGAAACCATTAAAGCAACAGAATGTGTCTTAACAGGTGATGTTTTAAGATGAACCAGGGTGGATTGAAGCAGAACTGAGAATGAAACAAGAGACATAATTATGAGGCTCATGTACTGATCTTGAGAGCGCTATTGGAGGGCAAAGGAAGGAGAGAAGAATGTATAAATGATTTGGAGACAACTCCCAGGATTAGGCCTGAGTGCTTAAAATAAGGAAATGTGGCAAGTGGAAGGAGCAGGGTGAGGAGATATTTTCATTTTGAATGTTTTGAATTGAAAGTATTAGAGGAACAACTGTGACATTGTGATATAGTAAGAAATACATTTTCGGTCTTTGTCCCTGGTTCCTGGCACAGAGTTTCTAAAACCCTAGAAATTTCCTGAGTACTAGGAATGAGAGGAATGTCTTTTGTTATTCACAGTAAGTACCTTTCAACCTTACCTGAGTTTATGCTAATGAGGTGAAATTTGGAGGATGGGGCTGACTGCCAGAGAAACCAGCCATGTGATTGGAGAGTTGGAACTTTCAACCCCACCCTCTGACCTTCTGGAAAGGGGTTAGGGATTGAGTTAAGTGCCACTGGCCAGTAATTTAATGAATCCTGCCTATTTAATGGAACCTTCATAAAAACCTGTAATGATGAGGTTCCTAGAGCATCTGGGTTGGTGAATACATCTATGTGACAGGATAGTGGCAGACCCCAAACTGTATGGGGACAGAAGCTCTTGTGCTTGGGATCCTTCCAGACCTTGCCCGATGTACCTCTTCACCTGCTTATTCATTTGTATCCTTTATAATAAACCAGGAATAATAAGCAAAGTATTTCTCTGAGTTCTGTTAGCCATTATAGCAAATGATCAAACCTGAGAAGGGTGTTGTGGAAACCTCTGATTTGTAGCCAAGTCAGACAGAAGTGTGGGCAACCTGGGGACCCGGCATTTGCAAGTGGCATCTGAAATGGGAAGCAGTCTTGTGAGACTGACCCCTTAACCTATGGAATTTACACTAACTCCAGGTAGGTAGTGTCAGAATTGAATTAAATTGTAGACACCCAATTGATGTCCACAGAGAATTAGAGAATTGGTTGGTGTTGGAAAACCCACACATTTGGTGTCAGAAGTGTCTTGAGTAGAGGAATAAGTTTTCTGTTAGCAACAAAGTAAAAATTTCCAATAATTGAGTTGTTAGAAATTAAAATTAGAAGTATATGTGATAAATAGTTTTTTCATCTCTGAAGTGATTGTGATCGTGATTCTAAAAATAGGAGATAACAGTGAAGTGATCCTAAGATCAGAGGGAGGTCAACAAAATATTTATTGCTTGTAATATAAAACATGGTAATAAATGCAGGTAATGTTAACATTTGACATTGGACTCAACATCAGAAATAGAATAACAATAATGATATGGGATAATAAAATAATTAACATTTATCAAGTATTTATTATATACAAGATGCTAAACATTTACATTCAATAATTTATTTAATCTTTACTGCAGCCTTATGAGATGGGTCACTTAAAAGTTAAATAATGCGCTCCAAGCGACTCAGTTAATAATTGATGGAGCTGGGAATTAGGATTTGACCCCAGACACCCTGGCTCTAAAGTCCGTACTCGCCAGTTATCTGTGGAAGCTCTAGGGATAAAATTGTACTTGAATCCTGTGCCTTTACATAGATCAATACAGCATCTTTAAAGGACCTGAGATTAAGTATCATTATTTTTATTGCTGTCTTCAAATTCTTACACTTCTCATTCCCCTTCTTCTTGTTTCCTTCTTCATTCTACTACCTCCTTGTTTACCTTTATAACATGTAGCATTATAAAGTTGTGAAATTCTTTGTACAGTGCCTTAAGTTCCTTGGCAGCAGTGTACTCTATAAATGTTATTGGTAATTCCGAGAATCTGGGAGTTAGATTGTTTCAGTTATTGAATTGAGTACATCGGCATGCTGCAAGATTTGCTTATAATAAGTACATACCTGCACATTTCTATTAAGACTGCTGGTGCACTGTGAAGTGGAAAAGCTTTCTCTGTAGTTATTTAAGAAGTATTGCTTTGTTTCCACATTCAATCTAGAAATACATTTTAGAAGTAAAAAATAGATGCATAGAATAAGTTAGTAGGCCAATCTGTGTTCTTGTATGGAGAGGGAGCACTGTGCCAAATGCTGTGCACGAGGTGCAGAAGAAATGGATAGCTATCCTTGGGGAATGCAGAAGGGAAGTGATCTAGGGGTGATTCACAGGTCTGACAAGGCTCCCTGCTTGTGGAACAGCCAACCACATCCTTCAAGGTCGTTGGAACAGGGAACACTACCAGCCATTTATCATGGCCCTTTTTATTATTATTATTATTATTATTATTATTTTTTTTGGTGAGGAAGATTGGCCCTGAGCTAACACCTATTGCCCATCTTCCTCTATTTTATATGTGGGATGCCGCCACAGCATGGCTTGATGAGTGGTGTAGGTCTGCGCCCAGGATCCAAACCTGCGAACCCTGTGCCGCCAAAGCAGAGCACGCTGAACTTAACCACTGCGCCACTGGGTATCATGGCCCTTTTTAGAGCTGAGTGAAATAGTCGATGACTTTTAAATTATCAGTCAACAGACTCCAGTTATAGAGATAAGAATGCCCACAAAAGCATTTGGCAGTTAAAAGAGTACCATTTAAGTGAAGGTAGTAAGATTGAGACAACTACTAAAGAGCTGAAAGTTGCTGAAAACTTCCTGGAAAAGTTGAGTTTTTGACAAGCTGGCCTTAAAGAAGATGACACTACTGTTTTGGTGAAGAACATAAGGAAGGTTTGTAGACAGGAATTAGACAGTTACGTATAAAATAGGTTAACCTGGTTGAAGCGTAGAAGGGCAATAAGAGTTAGCTTAATGAGAGTTAGAGGTTTGGATTGTGGTGAGAGGTATTAATGGAATATTTTGAGAGAGAAGCAAAGGTTTTGTTATGTTTGTTTGTTTTTTGGTTTTTGGGTTTTTTTTTCCCAATCTAGAGTGACCCTATCATCTAACTGGAAATCACACTATGAGATTATGGCAGTCATCTTCAAATATTGGAAAGGCTGTCCATGTGGTGCTGGGTTATATTTACTCTCATTCTCTCCAGACGGTGAAACTGACCAATGGGAAGAAGTTACATGAAGACACTTGTGTCTTTCGGTTCATTATAGTTAAAAAACAACAGAAATGCCTTCACTGTCTATAAATATAATCGGTACTTTGGAAATTAGTCACTAGAATTACTTAAGTAAATATTGGGTCTCTTTATGGCAGGGATGTTATAAGGTAAATTTCTGCTGACAGTGGGAGGTTTGTGCTAAAATCATTTCCAACTTGAGCTTCTGAGAGTTTGTGTGAAATTATTAGAAGAGAAACTGGTATTGAGGCTCCTAGCTAGAAGGCTATGCCAGACTCCAGGTGTGTGGTGTAGTGAGAATCACTCTGAGGAGAAATACAGAATATATTGCTAGGAAATAATTTACAAGAATTGGGAATGGATTGAGGAGATCAGTGTTGGTGGAGTAATGGCTCCAAGGGGCATGGGCTTAGTTGGTGGAATAATGGCTCCAAGGGGCATGGGCTTAGTTCATTAGGAGATGGCAGTGCCTTAATGGTAGGGAAGAACTCTCTGGTGGAAGATGCACAGGCTGTGAGTTAGTGGACCTGGATTCTAGGTCTAGCTTGCCAACCACTTTGAAGTGATGGGCAAGGCACTTAACTTCACTGAGGTTATATAAAATTTGAGTATTGGACTAGGTAATGTCCATATTTTTCTTAATTTAGTAAAATCAAGAAGAAGTTAAGGGATGGGCATGAAGGTTTATTTTATGTCATACTAGCCAGTAATTGTTTTGTTGTCCAAGTGGACATTTTCTTGACAACTTGATTAGTTGAGTAATGAAAAGATTTCAGTTTAGCAGAGCAGGAATTTAAAATTATAAAGTTATCTTTGTTCAAGTGATGAATTCGTAGAGGAAGACAAAGAAGAAAATGTCTTGAGTTCAGCCAGTAAAGTGTTACCAGTAGGGAGATCTGGCAATAGAGATTGCTTTTCATGAAAAATAGGTATGTACCTTTCTTAAAAGAGCGTTTATTACATATGCAACCATGAGTGATGTGAATCTACTTACCTGACAGTCTTGTGAAAACTTAAGTATGCTACCAATCTGCAGAAGTGAGGTTCCAGAAAGATGCTACAAACAACCAGCTCAATCATAGAATATTTGCTACTGCTTCTGTATATATCTGTTTTTATGCTTGTTTCTATGAGTTTTTGTTTGAAAGTCTGTCTTTTTAAATAGTTATTTCTCTGTGTAAGAGAGACATACGTATTGAATTTAGTTTGAGTCCTCATGTGGGAGCCTCTAGGAAACCCAGTGACCCTGGGGAGGTGATCAAGAGTGGGGTTAGTGGTAGGGAGTCTGCGTTTTCTTGGCTTCAGACTCTTTCATTCTTTGGCTGCAGTATTTTATGTCACCTGTAGATGTTGTAAAAGTGAAGCTTGTCTCTAAGGCATCTCAGCTTCATGAGACATCTCTAAACTATTTCCATGTCTTGAGGCATGCAGTGTTTTAACATAACAAAAGCAAAATGAAGAAAAGCCAAAACAAAAAATTCGTAGTGCTCTGAAACGTGTTTGGCCTGAAAAATGTGGAATTACAGGGAACATGCTTTTTTTTTTCTCTCCTGCAGTGTTTTTCTAGGATCATATATATAACTTTGTTTAGTGTTTATGGAAGGAGTCTACTGCTGCCTCTCTGGCTCTACCATCAGCACCAAGTGGAGCTCTGCCTAGTCACCCTTGACCTTCCCTACCCAAGAGCAATAGGCTCTTGTTTCTAATTTTAAAATCTTTTCTGATTTTAGGCTTTGACAAAATTCTTGAAATGTGTTAATTGGGATCTACCTCAGGAGGCCAAACAGGCATTGGAACTTCTGGGAAAATGGAAGCCAATGGATGTAGAAGATTCCTTGGAGCTGTTATCCTCCCATTACACCAATCCAACAGTGAGGCGTTATGCTGTTGCCCGGTTGCGACAGGCAGATGATGAGGTACATTATTATTCGTTACTCCTCCTCAGCGGGGTACATTTTAAACTAGAGACTGGTTGTAGACTCTGTGTGTGTGTGTATATGTGCGACAGAGAGAGAGAGATTTTTAGAAGGGAAGAGGATATACTAGGTGTGTTTTCAGAAATAAAATTAAAATATTCCTCCAAGGACTCCTCTGTGAAATGAAAATTTACTTCCTGATCTGTTACGTGATAGGACAGTCTCTCCCAGGACATTGACCTGGCAGCAGAGCTTGTATTGCTCTGTCTGGAAAAAGGAATTCTAATGAAAAATGGTTTAATGCAGCACCAGCTAGGGAATAATTCAGATCCCCTCTATCAGTCAGTATACAACAAGCCACATTTAATTGTAGCCTTGAAAAGCCCTTGGGGCCTTTAAAGCTTAGAAATGCATGGTCATCTTATTCTCCCTCAAACCCCCTTAACCCTTCAGCTGCTGATAGTTATGTGTATATGTAGATTTTTCTGAAGGTGGTTTTGAATCCTCTGGAAAGCAAAGACTGCAAACCTTATGCTGGCTATTTATATACATATAGAGTCACCACGGAAGGAGGAACACTGTTGACACAAATCATTGCTGGACTTTGAATTTTAGTAATTCCCAATGAGGCAGACTAATCCAGCAAAATTTTTTACTTATTAATTATTATAGAGTGAACGTGTTCTCAACCTAATAGTTTATGCTAGCCTGTAGGGCTTATGGGATATGAGATAACTCTACTCAAGCCTCAATATATATATATAGGAATGCTGATCCCATAGAACAACTTTTTTTTTTTTTTAATTTCTTTTTTAGGAAGAATGGCCCTGAGCTAACATCTGTTGCCAATCTTCCTCTTTTTCTTTTTTCTCCCCAAAGCCCCAGTAGATAGTTGTGTATCATAGTTGCAGAGTTGTAACTCTTCTATGTCGGATGCCACCTCAGTATGGCTTGATGACCGGTGAGTAGGCTAACCCTGGGCCGCCAAAGCGGGGCATGCAAACTTAGCCACTATGCCACTGGTCTGGCCCCAGAACAACTGTTATCAAAGACTTTTTTTTTTTTTTTTTTGCTGAGGAAGATTGGCCCTGAGCTAACATCTGTTGCCAATCTTCCTCTTTTCCTTGAGGAAGATGTGCCCTGAGCTAACATCTGTGCCAGTCTTCCTCTATTTTGTATGTGGGTCGCTGCCACAGCATGGCTGCTGAGGAGTGGTGTAGGTCCACTCCCCAGAACCGAACCCGGGCCGCCAAAGTGGAGCGTGCTGAATTTAACCACTAGGCCATGGGGCCGGCCCCTCAGAGACCTTTTTTTTAAAAATAAAAAGTCATTTTGAATTCATAGTGGTATCTGCATTTCAAGAAGCAAAATGCAGCATTTTAAGGTTGATAGTGCATGTGTACATTTAATTATAATAAAATTTAAACACTAAAGTAAAAAGTGTAGTGAATGCTCACATATAATTTACCCATCTTCAGCAGCTGCCAACTCATAGCCAATCTTGTTTCATCTATAACACCACTTACTTTCTCCTCCCTATCCCCTACCTGCCACTAGATTATTTTGAGGCAAATCTCAGATCTGAATAGGATGTTTTTCACTCTCCTGTCAAAAAGCAGTTCTAAGCATTGTGAATATCTTTGCCTTTCCCATTGTCTTTACTTTATCACAAGTAAAAAATTTATTACAATATTTATTTGAAATATTGAAATATTTATTTTGATATTTGTTAGAAATGTCACTTAAGTCATTAATTCTCTGTCTATGTTTGACATGAGTCATAGAGTTTATATAAAGGCCTCTGGGTTGTAGTTGAGACAGCCCCTGGATGTGAGTTGAGAATTTAAATTGAAAAATTGTAAATCATCATTTTTGATTGACTTGACTTCCTTTACAAGCTTAGAGGCTAGCTATTTGATTATCTCTGGAGTTATGTATTCATGCAGATGAACTATTTCTAGACCATTTTATAATTTTTGTTATGAGATAGAGGATAATGATAGAAACATTGTGTGCATTCTAAACTTGAAAATATGGTTCAACTATTGTTATGTTTTTTGAGATTTTAGAGATATAGCATAAATAATATGGTGGTTATCTCTTGATTTCCCTTTCTCTGAACTTAATTCAGTAATGAATTGTATTTACTCAGCTGAAAAAAACAAAGCTCTTTTAATTCTTTACTACTGGTTCTTCAGGTGTACATTAAGATCTGAATTTTGTCTTTTCTCTGACTCTGTGTACCTTTATATATGTCTTTGTGAACACTGTATATTATTCTCACCTCAGTTTCTTATCCAAAAAAATAGTGATAATAGCTGCTTATGTCGCTTTATAGTTATGAAGAAAAAATTATGTGGGGCAAAGTTTTGAAAACTACTTATACACGTATGCAGAAAGATTGCACATTTATATTATGTAAATTTCATACTAAAATTATTCATATACATTTCATTCGTAATTAGTTTAAAATATCCCTTGTTTCTGCTTTGTCTGTGGAATACAGTATTTATGGTTTTATAAACTTCAAATTTTTTTGGTATTAGAATCATATAATCATAGCATCAAAAGATACATCATAGGTCACTATGTCTAAACATCCACATCTTGGATAACTGGAAAACTTGAATGAAAAATTCTGTGTTTTATGTTTGTACAGTTAGTCTAATTTCTTGAATATGCCATAGTCTCTCCAGTAGCCATGCCCTTATATGTGTTACTTCATCAGCCTGGAGGAGTATTCATCCTGTTCATCCTTCAGGCTGTAGCCCAGACCTCATCACTTCTGGGAAACCTCTCTTAACCATCCCACCAAGCAAGCGGCATTTTTTTTTTTCTTTGTGAGGAGATCAGCCCTGAGCTAACATCCGCCAATCCTCCTCTTTTTTTGCTGAGGAAGACGGCCCTGGGCTAACATCTGTGCCCATCTTCCTCCACTTTATATGGGACGCCGCCACAGCATGGCTTACCAAGCAGTGCGTCGGTGCGCGCCCGGGATCCGAACCAGCGAACCCCGGGCCGGCGCAGCGGAGCGCGCGCACTTAACCGCTTGCGCCAGCGGGCCGGCCCCCAGCAAGAGGCATTTTTGTTTGCTTGTTTCCTGCTCGCACAGCATTCTTTTTATTCCTTTGCTGTAATATTCATCTTTTTTTTTTTCTGATCTCCTTTGCTTTTTAATTATGAAGGAAATAATAATATAGAAAGTGATACTCCTTATGACAGGCCCACTCCTCCCACCATTTCTTATCTCCAGAAGGGTAGCCACTTATATATCCTTTCATATATTCTCTATGCAAATTGCAAGTGTATATATGCATGTACAGTATATATACTTCTCACTTTTCAAAAATGAACACAATTAGCATATTTATTTGTGTTCTATACTATATGTGTTCTATACTATATGTAACTTGCCAACTTAGCAGTGTATCTTGGACATATTCTCATTAGCAACACATATATTTGGTGTCCATAAAGTCTGGAAACATAGGCAAATGAATGTGCATAATGATGTCAAGACGTTCAATCTGTAAAAAAAGAATGCTATGTCTCTAGACTTTATGGACACCTGTAGTTCTACCTTACTGTTTTTAAAGAGCAGCATAATATTTTACTGCAGGTTTGTTTTATAACTTGTTTAATCAGTCCATCTCTTTTGATGGGCAGTTAGGTTGTTTACAGTCTTCTGCTATAACTGTATTTTAGTGAACAGACTTGTGTATATGTTTTTTCCCATATTCTTTTTTTTTTTTTTTGAGGAAGATCGGCCCTGAGCTAACATCTGCCAGTCCTCCTCTTTTTGCTGAGGAAGACTGGCCATGAGCTAACATCCATGCCCATCTTCCTCCACTTTATATGGGACGCCGCCACAGCATGGCTTGCCAAGCGGTGCGTCGGTGTGCGCCAGGGATCCGAACCATTGAACCCCAGGCCGCTGCAGCGGAGTGCGTACACTTAACCACTTGCGCCACTGGGCTGGCCCCTTTTTTCCATATTCTTGAATAATAGCTTGCATTGGAATTACTGGGCCAAAAGATATATGCCTTTTACATTTTGCTGATAATCCTCTGCAAGTTTTCTCTTTTAGTGCTTGTATCATACTTTAAAAAAAATTACAGTAGCTTTTATAATACCTTTAAATATATGATTCGTCAACTCTTCTCCCTTCTTTTTTTTTTACAATTTTTAAAATAATTATTGTACATTTATTCTTCCCATGAATTTTAGAATAATTTTGTCACTTTTTTAAAACTTCACCAGAATCTTAAGTGGAATTATATTACACTTATATATTACATTAGGGAAAAATTAACATCTTTATGATATTAAATCTTCTCTTCTAGAGATATATGATTTTTTTATTCATTCAAGTCTCGAATTTATAAAAATCTTATACATTTCTAAAAATTAGTTTTATTCTCTGATAATTATTGTTACTGTTATGAACTAACTCAACTCTTTTGTTTCTTATTTCTTTTTGTTAGTTAAATGTGGAAAACTTTTTTTGCGTTTTTGTTTTAATATATAGTTTTTATCTAGTCACTTTAGTGATTTCTCTTATTAGTTCTAATAGATGTTAGGTAGATATTTTGCAGGTTTAGCATCGGGCTATCTGGAAAACATCAGTATATAATATATACTGTATATGAAATCTATGCTGATAGATTTCCTAATGTTATACTGGCCCTACATCTATAAAATAAATCTTACTAAATCTTTTAATATCTTTGTGAATTTGATTTGCTAATATTCTATTTAGGGATTTTTTTAAAGTCATATTTCTTACTGCTGTGTGGCTCAAAAGGAGAGAGAGATTCCCCATTAGAATTTAAGGAGGAAGTGACATTTGAGATAGACTTTGAAGGAAGAGCAGAATTTTCACAGTTGGACATGAGTTTACATTCCAAGCGGAGAGAGCAATATGAGCAAAGGCAAGGAGATTGAAAAGTACAAGAAAAATAGCAAGTATTTCAACTTTAACAGGAGTGTAGGATATATATAGGTGTATGGGAGACAAAATCAGAACTCATGTCTTCTGTAACTGTAAATGCCTATATGAAGAGTTACTCTTAATTTGGTAAGAAATGGGAAGTCAGGGAGTGATTTTGACATGGGACTTTGGATTTGCACTCTGCAGCATTAGAATTATCTTGTTCTTGAGAAAAATGGTGATCACTATCTAGATAATATTTTATAACTCTTGGGAAATTTTTACTGAATCGCCTGCGATAGAAACCTGATTTTTCTTTTGTTCTATGCTTAGGTCCTTCATGCTTGGAGGAATTTTGTATTTTTCAAGATGTGATTATATAATGAGCAAATAGACTTTGTATTTACTATTGATGGTAATTCATTTTCATACAAATGAAGGAAAGTATAGTTTGAATATAGAATACTAGATGACCAACAAATCAGATGGTGATGAGTGACTTAAAAAGAGGAAAGTTTTCCTCTAAATTTCCCCTTCCTGGGGAATTTAATAACAATGCAGCCTTTTGATTTCATGTGGTTAGTCTTTTTGGTAATTGGGAAAACACAACCGGTGATAGATTCAGCAGCACTTCTTTTTTTTTTTTTTTTAAGTTTTATTTATTTATTTTTTCCCCCAAAGCCCCAGTAGATAGTTGGCTGTAGTTGAGACAGCCCCTGGATGTGAGTTG